TAATGTGACCTTGACCTGACCTTCGCTACGCAACCCAAGGTCAAACTGATGTGATCAGTAAATACATCTTTTTAAACGCCACAACTTTTATCTGAAACATTTTTTTCTAAAATGCTTAGTTTTCGAGATATTTCACCGGTCCGGGACTTTTTGAACACCCTGTATAGTTCTCATCGGTTCCGAGTATTTTCAATACCTATCTGTGACAAACTATCTAGAAAAAGTACAGTTACGTAAACATCGGGCGTTTAATGTCCAAATGTACGTGCATTACGTAAAAGCGCTTCGCTCGCGTATCGCCTCTTCGAGCGATCGATTTTTCGCTTCGCGTTATCACGATGTTATTGTGTGTACTCTGCATTGACAGGGCTTAAGAGTCTGGACTAGCTGGCTGAAGAGGACCATTCAAACGGCAGCCGACGTGAAGGCGCCGCAGGAAAGGTGGAAGGCCCTCAACGAGATCGACGCCGTAAGTTGAAGAGCGAACAGAGAGTAGCATGATCGGTTTCTTATCGCCTTTCTTTTCCCGCGACCTCGCGCCGAAAGGGTATTTGCGAAGAGATGACGTACGAGGAGATCGCCGAGAAGTATCCTACGGACTTCGCCGCGCGCGATCAAAACAAGTTCTCGTATCGCTATCCGAGGGGCGAGAGCTATGAAGACCTCGTCGCGCGTTTGGAACCTGTGATAATGGAGTTGGAGCGTCAGGGTAACGTCCTGGTCGTCAGTCATCAGGCGGTTCTGCGTTGCCTGCTCGCTTACTTCCTGGACAAGAGTGCAGGTCGGTATGGCTGATCCTTCAATCGATTACGATCACGTACGAAGAAAGACGATTACATATATCAGCTGCCGGGATACCTGACACTCGAGCACACTCAATTTCTCAGAATAGCGATATTGAAGTATCTATACTGCGTGCGCGCAGACTTTGTGACCTTTGACGTATTGAAGAAACGTGTCAAGGAAAGAGAGACAGCGAATGCTGCTTCATGCAAGAGCATGACGTAATTATTTATTCTATCGCCCCATCGTGGAATAACTCATGTTTGCTGGCGCACTTCTGTTATCTGCGTCGCGCGGCTTCTCTTTTCAGCTCAAGAAACGTGTTCAGTGTATCCTGAGCATTTTTTGCTCGTGAATTTCCTTTGGAGTTATCTTTGTGTTATGCGTGTTTCTATTGACATGTCGATTAGACCTTGATCTAAGTTTAAATCCTTATCTGAATAGGGTTCAAACTCAAATTAAGCTTTGATAGACCTTGGTAGAAAGTGAGCGATTAGAGTGACAACAAAAAACACTCAATTGTCGCAGAACTTGCCGAGAAGATACTTTATCTTCGACGCGAAATATTCGGATTGAAATGTTATCTCTTCCTTTCAGACGAGTTGCCGTATTTGCAAGTACCTCTACATACCATCATTAAGCTAACGCCAGTTGCTTATGGTTGTAAAGTGGAGCATGTCCGGCTACCGATAGAAGCCGTGGACACCCATCGGCCGAAACCAAAGGTAGAGACAATCATAATAAAGCGTATTAAGCGTCGGTCTGCTTGCCAGAATTAGAGAGAGAGAGAGAATGTGTTTAAGAGAGAGATTGATGACGAGTACTTCCTGTTTGCACGTTAATTGCAGCAATATATGCCAATAAAAGATTTTGATTCCTGTACATTCCTTATGTTTTAATGTTCCCAGAGCGCCTGATACCGTTAGCCGGTCAGTGGAATGGACCGTTTTCTTGTATCTAATCGAAACCCCACTGTAGAGTCACCTGCATCTGCCCAAAAAACAAAACAGCTTCCATAAACTAAAAACTCGTCGCATGCACTTTCCCGTATGGAACCAAGAGACTCCCGTGTTACTCTCGCGTCCTCCCTGGTCTAAAAGTTCACTCTTTCGGACTCTATAGAGAGCTATGTTGTTTGTTAGCGAGAGGTTTCTCACGGAGAATTAATGTGCATTTATCTATGCCATCTTCTCGAATACTGTAAGAATCAATATTGTGACGTTGTCATGATACTGAAAGCTACTATGTATATGTCTTAATCTTGTCTACACAGCGATACGCGATAATGATGGTTTTATTGCTTGTGTACACACCCGGCCAATATTACTTATTCTAGTACAATAATCACTTATTCAGTGATTCTGTAGACGATTATACGATAAGGGTAACTAAATAATTCCAAGATCATTATTTTTGTACCGTTATTTCTGTCAAAAAGATCGTTCACGTATTGTCGATCTAGTTCTAGTGAGGTATCGTTAATGATCTGATGAGGTATCATGATCGCGCGATGTAAAGGAGTAGTTCAATCTGTAGCATCTGACCTTTAAATTGTTCTGGCACTTGTAATAAAAATCAGTCTTCGTAGAAGACCATACAAAAACATGTGTTTCCGATGAAACTACATCCTTTCGCACGCGAGGATTGCATCTTTCTGTTCTTTTTTTTATTTCCTTTTTTCGCTCTCTACAGAATACACCGTGTTCTTCTATTGTAAATTTATATTGCTAAAATCCCCGTTATGAAACTCTTTTCAGATACCAGGATATCTAGAGGAACGATTCAGAGAAAAGGGGAAAGTGCTACGCACGTGATAACAACGATTTTGTAGAAATCGACGCAGCTAATTTCTACCGTTCGTAAGAGAGGCTGAAGCAGCATAGATTCTCGACGATCGATTGCTGCCTCCCCTCCCGCGTACGTAAATCAGCGCGCATCCGAATCCTTCCCTATGTGCCAGACAACCTAGAGAATGAGATACACACACACACACACACACCTGAAATTGCAAATTAACAAATATGTCCTCCGGAAGTGTAGACGGAAAAGATATTCGTAGCAATACGTTCCGCATGACGACAGTGCGTGTGCAATTGTGGTTTTATATTTTTCGGTCGGTCCCCGTGGAAGAGCGAGGAAATGTATGTGATAACAAAGTGATCGCGAAGACGCTTGATGTGTGATCATCTAGACGACATGAAATTTTCGGAATGCTACTAACGATAAGAAAGAGAGTGACGTAAGAAGAGAGAAAAGGATTAGCGTAATTCTAGCAAAATTTATTATAATTTCCGTGCTTTGAAATATTTCCTTCTCGACGTGTAACTAACACTGAATGACGAAGATCTACGTGTACAACACGCGCTTCCAAAATCACAATATCTTATTCTCGTCCGGTAGAAATACTTCAAAGCATCGTCTTGCTTGATTCAAAGCTGAAAGCAAATGTTTTAATAGGAATAACGTTTCAACTGTTCAAAGGGTTACAAAAGAATTCTGATAGGTGTACAAATTTGGAGTTGTAAATAAGTAGTATGAATGTTATATATAATATTATATATATATATAATATATATAATATTATATATAATAAACAATATTTTGGTATAAAGAATTAGATTTTATGATAGATATCAACATCACTGTGTTTATCTCAATTTTGCAAAAGAACTATGCTTCATCGGTAACCATCCTGACTTCAACAAAAGTGATCTGAAATTAGTATCAGTTTTGTTTTTTTTTTACTAACTAAATTACTATTAAGGCATTTTTTCAACATTTTTCTGCAGAACAGAATTGAAATAGACACAATGATGTTAATATTTATTATAAAATCTAATTTTTTATATCAAGATATTATTAATACACATATAACAAAAAATTCATACTCTTATTAATTTACAATTTTTTATAATTCTCTAAATTTTATCTAATTTTTCTTAGGTTCATGTAACCCTCTAAAACATCATGGAATCCCTTCGGATCAATCAAGCGCTTTTTTTCAAGAAAGCAATCTGTGGCAATCTAAAGGCCATGAATCGTGACACATTAACAATAATACTCGACTTCAAACCATATAATGATTATTGAAACAGTATGATATGTTAGATTGAGCGATAATATTTCTTTATTAAACTACTGAATTTGTACAGTTCAATTCTTTATTGAATATATATATATTGCAATTTCATATATTGAGCAGTTAAAATACAGATTTCAATTACTGATACATGTATGTATCTCCATCAACATGAGAAACAGATATAATAAATGACATACAATTTTAAGAGTTTATCTACTGATTTGGATTCCTGTTTAATGAACTATGTAATAAATTGGACCTGTGAGTCACATGTTATAAACAAACAAATAAGTTTTTGTTCAATAGGTCCAACAAACCAATAAATTATGCTGTCTATATTAGAGTGAATTACATAAGTATTTTTTTATATTCCAATATATATACAAGGAAATAAAAAAAATATATAAAAGAAGGTAAGTCATAAATTTACATATGTTACTTAAAGGAATGTTATTTTTCTTAACTACAAAAAACCAGCAAATTCAATAAAATTTGAATTATTTAATGTCAAGATAAAAACTATTCTTCTAGCTTCAATCTTTTAGAGAAGGAGAAATGAGTGGTATATAATGTTTGTGAACAATAAATAGAAAACTAAAAATTCCATCTTTAAAATATATTTATTAAATCTATGATACTTTACTATTGAACTTTTTCATATAATAAAACTTTACCTAGAACAGAAGAAAATTGCATGGTCACTATTTCTCATTTAATCTTTGCAGAAGAAAGTAACACTGCTATGATATTAATATGATTAAAAATAAGAGACTTCAAGATTGCAAAATTCTTTTTGAAAGATCTTGATATTATCATTTTTATCAAAGTTACAACCGGTTGAAAATTTCAGGATTTTTCAGGACAGTCAAAGGGCGTCTGATCCACTGTTTAGTTGTATCACTTAATTTGTGATTGAGTAAAGTGGCGACTCGTAGCAGAGACAGCGGATACAACCAATGGCTGCGTTCAGCAGAGAAAGCTGATTTGCAACTGTTGTAAAATTCGTGAATTTGATTGGAGTGTGCTCTTAATTTTTGTTAAATCCAAGATGTACCAATCAGATTCACGAATTTTACACAGTTACAAAACAGCTTTCTCTGCTGAACGCAGCCATTGACACGGTAGCGCTGAATAGCGCTAATAGCAAACTCCTCGAACGCACTTATAGGCTGCGTTCCGAAATTCACTGCCAGTACTGAAAATCTATAGTTTATGTTACGTATACTATAGATTTTCAGTACTGGCAGTGAATTTCGGAACGCAGCCATAGAAAGACCTTATGGTTCCTGCACACAAGATGCGGTAATGCTTGCCGCGCGGCGGAAGTCCGCGCAACAGCCAATCAATATGTTGTTTTTCCGTAAGAGCTAGAAGGTTATTACGAAAAGCAGCGTATTGATTGACTGTCGCGCGAACTTCCGCCGCGTGGCAAGCATTACCGCGTCCTGTGTGCAGGAGCCATTACCTTCGTATTATTACCAATCCACAGACCTTGGTTATTACTTGCTATACTTTAGACACATTATTTTTAAAATTACTTTTAAAGTCTCCGCTACGAACGTACGTAGTTAGTTGATTATTTTTTTACTCGTGACGCATATAAATTATAAGCCTGTTCTTTGTAACTGCACTGCTGAACTGGTGCAATATATTGAAGTGAGACAAATATACATTTTCTCACTCTAACTTATTGCACTAGTTCAGCGTGCAGCTACGAAGAACAGGCCTTATAATACGTCAATTACTGCACTATGATATTCCCTTTATTTTTGTATTTTTCTGTAGCCACTGAGGGACCAACCGTGTTGAATGGATATTTAACCTATATGGAGCGTGCCTGAAGAGAGGAGTAGTACATTTAAATATAAGATTAAATATCTTGTGTTTCCTGTTTATGTGTAGTTATAAATTTATTCCGACCTCATGACTAAGATAATGACATCTATTAATGAGTTCGGGCCCGATTCCGGTGGTAGAGTGAAGGTACAGCGGTTTAGGCAAACGTTGACAATATAACCTCTAATATTTTAAATTAGTAATAGTATTAAATTAGTAATAATAGTAATAGTATTAAAGTACAATTATCGAAGAAAACTTGTAGCTATGATTTTATCTGTTCTTTAATTCGAATCATTTCATTTTATTGCAGGGTATCACTATTGTCAAACCTATAATTTACGGCAATGTGGCACGTTACTTTGGCAAAAAGCGAGAAGAAGATGGTCATACACATCAATGGACCGTGTATGTGAAGCCTTATCATAACGAAGACATGTCCACTTATGTTAAGAAAGTACATTTTAAGTTGCATGAGAGTTACAACAATCCCAATCGAATAGTGACGAAACCACCATACGAATTAACAGAAACTGGTTGGGGAGAATTTGACATTGTCATTAAAATCTACTTTCATGATCCAAACGAACGTCCTGTGAGTGTACATTTTTGCTACAAGACTAAAGAGATGCTTCTCATACCTTTTACTGTCTTATATATTGACTGAGAAGTTAGTACATTAAATATAATGTATAATAACATAAATATTAATTTCAGGTAACAATATATCATATACTGAAGCTGTTCCAGTCGACCCCAGAGATACAACTGGGCAAGAAAAGCTTGGTGTCCGAATTTTACGAGGAAATAGTCTTTCAGGATCCAACGGCATTGATGCAACATTTGCTAAGTTCCAGCAGAGCTATAACGCTTGGAGTTTGGCGACACAATACAGACTGTATGTATAAAAAGGCATCATATCAAATTATGATTTAACAATAATTCAATAATAATAATCGTTACAGTTGAAGCAAAGAAAGAATCCACGATGAAAGCTATTATGGAGGCACGCAACAAGATAAGACTCGAAGTGATAGATCTCAAGGAAAAATTGACCTTAGCTAAGGAGACTATCGCAAAGTTCAAAGAAGAGATTGCGAAGATCTCCAAAGTTGGTGGAGGTTTATCTGTCTCATAGTAATCGCCGAGACGGAAATGTTAATATCCGGAATCTGTATAAAGTGTATATATATTGAATTTTTTCTGCAAAACTTAAACATAACTGCGCGTTTTGTGATGTTAACTTGTATAATATAAGCACAATTTTATTAATCTAATTATTCTATCCTTTAGTTGAAATATATTTTCTAATTTTATATCTCTACATGTATATCCTTACCATCCTTTTAGTAAATTTACTATGCAGAAATCTCATTTTCGATTAAGATTGACGTGGAAAAATGATTTATATGAAAAAGTCGACACATGTGTTTTAGAGAGAAAACTCAGCTTTTTATTCATTGTATAGCGGATGTTGTGCAATAATTAGTTTCCTCTTCTGTAAAAAAGATCAAAGTTAATTTCTAAAAGATCTTAAAGTCATTAGCATTTTTTTTTTTACAAAAGTTACAAACTAACAATTTTTTTACGATCTACTTTTTTATAGTAAATAAAGATTTTATCTTTATTTATATAAATAAAGACCTTATTTTTATATACGAGGAATGTATACAAGGATGTATACAAGGAAATACATAATTAGTTAATCATTTTTTCTTGTGACACGTACAAATTATAATATGTTAATTATTGCACTATGATATTTTATTTATCTCTATATTTTTTCGTAGTCGTGCGAAAATTTGTGCTGCACTCGTGTATCTTACTATAGGTTCAGTGTAGCTGAATGATTGTGTTGAGCGGATATTTAACTTGCAAGAAGAAAGCGTACCTAAAGAAAATAAATCATACATTGGAATATAAGATAAATTTTTCTGTTTATGTGTGATTATAAATTTATTGAGATCTCATGACTAAAATAATAACGTCGATTAATGAGTTTGGACCCGATTCCGGTGGCAGAGTAAAGGTAAAGGACAAGTGTTGACATTATAACCTCTAATGTTTTGGCGCCGAAAATTCAATCGGTAAAAAGTGCAATCGTAGTTAGAAAAAAATTCGTAGCGTGCCATGATTTCGCTTATTGTCTGATTGAAATTATTTTATTTTACTGCAGGGTGTCATTATCGTCAAGCCTATAGTTTATGGCAATGTGGCACGTTACTTTGGCAAGGAACGAAAGGAAGACGGTCATACGCATCAATGGACTGTGTATGTCAAACCTTATCATAACGAGGACATGTCCACTTACGTTAAGAAAGTACATTTCAAGTTGCACGAGAGTTACAACAATCCCAATCGAATAGTGACAAAACCACCATACGAGTTGACAGAGACTGGCTGGGGAGAATTCGACATTGTCATTAAAATCTACTTTCATGATCCAAATGAACGTCCTGTGAGTATACAATCTTACTGTAAGACTAAAGAGATGTTTCTCGTACCTTTTACTGCTTCATATTTAATTGAGAAGTTTGTACATTAAATATAATAAAAGATGGTATAAATATTGATTTCAGGTAACGATATATCATATGTTGAAGCTTTACCAATTAACACCAGAAGTACAATTGGGCAAGGAAAGCTTGGTGTCTGAATTTTATGAGGAAATAGTCTTTCAGGATCCAACAGCACTGATGCAACATTTACTGAGTTCCAGCAGAGCTATGACGCTTGGAGTTTGGCGACACAACACAGACTGTACGTATAAAGAAGCGTCATATCAAATAATTTAACAATAATTCAATAATAATCGTTACAGTTGAAACAAAGAAGGAGTCTACAATGAAAGCCATCATGGAGGCGCGTAACAAGATAAGACTCGAAGTGATAGATCTCAAGGAAAAATTGACTTTAGCTAAAGAAACTATTGCAAAGTTCAAAGCAGAGATTACAAAGATCTCTAAAGGTAGTGGAGGTTTATCTGTCTCATAGTAATCGCCAAGAGACAGAGACGTTGATATCCGCAATCAAGAGCTCGTCGTCAGACTTGCGATTTTCGAATTGCAAACTCACGCTTGTTCTCGTTCCAGCAAACGTGAAATTGTGTTTTTGCGAACCTGTATGAAGTGTATATAAATAGAATTTTTTTTTTAACTCAAGCATAAATGCATTTTTGTGATATTCTTAACTTATTCAGCATAAGCACAATTTTAATAATCTACTCTATCGTATAAATGAAATATATTTTCTAGTTATTACATATTCACATATGTCTTCGCTATCTTTTTAGGAAACTCACTACGGATAAACGATATGGTTAGGCGATTACTTTTCGCGAGTTAAATTGTAAGAAAGTAATTGACAACTTGAACACATCTGGCACTGGTAGTTGTAAACTTTGTCTTATAAACGATCTTTCACCAGCGTTTCGGGGATTCACGTCTATGAACCAACGCCGGTTTGGCACTAATCGAGTGAAATTATGTATTATGTATATATTATTACTTAATCATGAATAATTTAATCAATTGATAAAAAGTTAATTATTGATCAGCGTAGAATCAATTATATAACAATTTTATTAGTAATTAACCAACATTAGTTGGACACTAATTGAGTAAAATTATGTATTATGTATGTCACATGATCATAAATAATTTAGTCAACTGTGATAAAAAATTATTAATCAGTGTATAATTAATCACATAAAAGTTTGATTAGTAATTATTTTTATTAATCGGTGAATTATTTTTTATTTTATATATAATGATTAATTAATTTTGATGATTGATTTGCTAATTATTTTAATGAAGAAAAATTTTACTCGATCAATGCCCAACATTGCTCAACATTGACCGCATCTCTCGTTTGCAACAAGCTCACGATTCTTGAGCGCATCGATGATATAATAGCGATAGCACGCATATTTGTGCTTTTCGTAAAAGATAACTATCTTTCTAATTATATAAGAACTGTTTATAAACTTTCTCTTTAACTACTGGCTCTTTGTATTTAATTAACATATTTTCTCATTACTTTACATACGATTAGTCGCGATCGATAGTGCTTTTTGATACGAGATTAGTCAGGCGCAAAATAATAATAGTTCTCAG